TATAGGCTCACAAAGGGTGCATTTACGTGATGGTAAAGCTGAAGTTTCAGCAGCCATTAGTCCAGTCTTCAGTGTAACATAAATCATTCTAATATGCTGATTTGGTGCTCAAGAAATTATTATTATTATCAAAGTTGATAACAGTTGTGTTTCTTAATAAACATTTTACATCCCTTTACAACAATTTTATCCTGTTACATTTTTCCAGGATCCTTTGATGAATATTAAGTTCAAAAGAACATCATTTATATGAAATAGAAATATATACACACACAGACCCCAATCGTTCTAAAGGTAGTGTGTGTGTGTGTGTGTGTGTGTGTGTGTGTATGGTCGCCGTGATTTTGCCAAGTAAGACATGTTCCTGGATCAACATCTTTTGTTGATCCTGGATCAACATTACTGTCCAAAAATATAGACTAAACCCAATCCCTACCCCTAAACCTACCCATAATTTATTCCTAAAATCAGTTTGAAATGATAGCTGATTAACAAGGGAGTAGAAGCACCTAACCCTGATCGTAAGCCTAAAACAGATATTTCCTGAAAAGTTATCCCTCAATTCTGATTGATTAATTGGAATGTTGTTATTATTGTCAGTTTAATGCGTTAACTTAATTAGTTATGAAAAAATAACGCAATTAAAATATTTTAACGCCGTTAACGCACTGGCCCCGCCCCCATACCTGTACGTCATCTTACATTTCATACAGTTGACAAATATAACGCCATAAATGCAGTTATGCCCTAAAATTCAAGATATTAGTGCAATAAATGCTCCTGTATATAATAATAATAATAATAATAATAATAATAAAAACATTAAAGGAATAGGCCTAGTTCAGAACGGCACGGCCGGCAGATTCAACGAAGGAGCGGCCGGCGAGCTTGCGGCAACCACATGTGACACCCCCAGGCTGGACTCCGCTTCGTCCACGGTGAAAGCCGATCCACAGAGCGAAGTTGATGTATTTCCTCAGCGACCAGCACGGATCAGCTCTTCCTCTTTTGGAAGGCCAAACAAAGTAGTTTCGCTTTCACAACGAAACACACAGCA